ATTCCTTCCTTATCCTCACTAAACCTCGTGCAAATTACCATCTTGTCCTCTATATTTTTATACATATTATCCAATTTTAATTATTAATAAAATTTTAAATAATTATTTTTAAATCTAAATAATATTAACCTTATATTATTTTAATAAATAAGTACTAACTAATATTACCAATTAGTTACTCACAATGCCACTCATATCTACACTACTGCTCACACACCTCCAACACCTTAATTTTTATATTTCTAAGGCAACTACCTCACACTAAGGGCATCACAAAAGATCAAAACATCCATCAACGCATATAATGCATAACATCACATAATTAAATTACGAAAAATAATTTAAATAAAATCGGGGCGTTACAAATTGTCTGTTACTATATCCCATAGATCAACATCAAAACCAATAAAAAAACTTTTAATTTTATCCTTCTAATAGTCAAATTTTTCACCATCAAAAACTGTTGATTTAGCAGCAAAATAATTTTTATCATTATTGGTATTTGCAGGTGGAACTTCCGCCATTGTGTTTCAAGTACTGGATCTTTATGTAACACAGTTAAATCTTTATCTAACTACTTGATCTGAGGCTTCTAATAAAATTAGATGAAACTTGATTAGAGTAATTTTTCAGTGTTTTGAGAAACGTTAGTCTTCAGATTCTTGATTTATCAGAGTCAGTCTGGATAAAGTTCTTTCAATAGTTGCCTTGATATATGTAGAAGCAGATTGTTCGTTGTAAATACTTTTTTGCATTTTTCATCGGTTCAAAGTGTGTTTGATTTCCCAAAGTCCGGGGTTGCTTGTTTAGAGTCTAGAACTACACTTGTCCATAGTCCACAATTTGCAAGCTCAAAGTCCAGTGTCTATGAATAAAATTTGCACACTTTAACAAACTGTTAGAGTAGAAAATTGTTCCCCATACTAGTGTACTTGTTATCATGAAAACTTCAAGAATTAGTTGACGAACCAAACTTATTCCAACATGTGATTCTTCCTTCAATCGCTCAAAATCATCAACTTCAAGTATTATTTACCATATTACATCTTTCCATTCTTTTGATCATTTGTCTTGTTCACGAAAGGCTTTTGACATGTCTGTTACAAATAATACCGAGTGATTGGAGATTGGTTGAAAATTGAACTAGATGCATTAGCTAAGAATGAAACATGAAAGTTAGTAGACAAACCACCACATGTGAAACCAGAGGCGGAGCTGGGAATTTTAGGCAGTATGTGCAAAAAATTTAATCGCAAGTTACATGTGACATAATATATAAATAGTCAAAATTTTCACACTCTGTTTTTACTAATTTTGTCTCTAATTTTGTCTAAAATTAAGCTATTGGGTTAAAGAAAATACAAAGAAAATAGAGGTTGAGCCCGAGCGGATGCCCGAACTCATTGGACTATAAAACCACCCCTCTGCGAAACCTATTGGTAGTAAGTGAGTCTACAAGGTCAACACGCAAGGCTTGTGATTCAATAGAAAGATACAGGACAAGATTAGTAGTCAAGAGTTATAATCAAATAGAAGGTTTGAATTTTTTTTATACCTTCTCCCCTGTAGCTAAACTCACTACAATCAGAGTTCTCCTTGCCCTTGCATCTATGAAGAATTGGTACATTCACCAAATAGATGTTAATAATGCAATCTTGCATAGAGATTTACAAGAGGATGTTTATATGTCCTTAATAAATGGAGTTACAGCCAGGCCTAACCAAGTTGGAAATGGTATGAGAAATTAACTCATCTCCTTATGCAATAAGTATACCACCGGTCAACTTCTTATTACTCTTTATTCACCCTAAGCAAGAACAATAGTTTATTATTCAGAACAAGAATTCACTATTCTCCTAATGTATGTTAATGACACTATATTAGCTGAAACCTCTTAGATAAAAATAAAACAATTTAAAAGAAAGCATCATAAATAAACTCATTAGATACTTTTTGTAGCATATACATATAACTTAAAAGAAAAATCAAAGGACAACCAAACACTAAGTTTTTCTTATCACCACTCTCCATCAGAAAACACAACAGCAATCATGTTCTTCTAAGGAGATTGGCTTATGAGACAACAACATCTGTACAAAACTATCACTAAACAACCAACACTAACTCCTCCATCTATCCTTGCAAATTTGATGTACCATCATGTTCTTGATTAATCCTTCATTATCCAAGTGTGATTGCTGTCTTTTATGCAGCAAAAACAAGTTTCTCAACACAAAAACCTATTGAACACCAAGGTTAAGTTATGTAGTTCTCAATTCTACCTTTCAGGTGTCTCTGGCGTGCATTCTTCTGAACCTTTCATCTTATCGGTATACGAAGGACCAGAGTTATCCTTTATAGATTCAATATCCATGCTGACGCCGCGGCTCTTTCTATTTCTTTGATCCTGAAAGTGTTAACAATTTCATGACTATTGCATTTAAAAGAGTTGGAGTCCTGCGGTAGAAGGTTAATAATATACGAGAAGATAAGATAATGAAAGGAACCTCTCTGAACGGATATTCATCGGCTTCAAGCATCCTCACAACCTGACTCATTTTAGGTCTCTTCTCAGCCTCAGGATCAACGCACCTAAATGCAACAAGAAGAGCGCGCTTTAATGCACGTGTCGGCGGTTTCACTTCAATGCTCGAGTCTACGACTTCCTCAGCCTTCCTTAACCCCACCATCATCTTGAGCCACTCAACAAGATTCACCTGTCGTAAGGATAATCAAAATTTGATCAACTATATGAAAGGCAATGGTATCATACATATCGTCATCGCTTATGACGGAATACAAAGACGCGTATTCAAAACCTCGTTGGTAGGACGTGTATAGTCTACAGGGTCTCTTCCGGTAATTGCTTCGAGTAGGAGAACACCAAAGCTGTAAATGTCGCTTTTCTCATTTAACAAGCCGGAGTTAGCATATTCTGGTGCAACATAACTGAAATGGAGAACCAAAGTAAGCGCATGTATACGAAACCGTTTTATAAATTTGAAAAGTAATGAAAATTTCAGAATACCCAAATGTTCCCATCACTCGGGTAGTTATGTGACTTTCTCCTGAATCCAAAAGTTTGGCTAAACCAAAATCAGAAACCTTTCCGTTGAAATCGCTATCGATCAAAATGTTGCTAGACTTTATATCCCGGTGAACAACTTTTGGTTCTATTGCTTCGTGTAAGTAAGCAAGCCTGTCACAAATCACAGTTAAACGGAAATTTTAATTCGCCGGAAAAAGTCCATGTTGAAACTAACATAGCAAGTATAAGACACCAAAAATGATTAACAAGGTCCACATTTCTAAATTTTTTTTAGGTTGAACTTACGCTTTGGCTGTGCCGAGAATAACTTTCATGCGAGCTTCCCATGTGAGTACCCCATGTTGTCTCATTGCCCCGTGTAACCATTGTTCTAAGTTACCATTGTTCACATACTCATACACAAGCAACCTGTAAATCAGCGAAACTAAACTGATAATGAAAGAAAGAAGCACATTTCAATTTTTTTTGTATGTAGACGAAGCGGTAATAACCACTCGAACCCTGGTGATGGCGTCCAACCTAGCAATATCGGCTTCTTCCAGTTGAGCTAGGATTAGCAGACACATTTCAAATTTTACCTATAAGAAAAGATACTCGCAAACCCAGAGTACGAAATGTTATCGAGTAACAATTTGGAAACATTATAGAACACTGATTTTACCTGTGAACTCCTTCTATGCAAAATCCAAGTAAGCGCACAAGGTTTTTATGTCTGACATGGCCTATAGCATCGACTTCAACTCTGAATTCTTTCTCTGCCTGTCCCCTATAAAGAAATAAACGACATTGTTTAAGAAAAAATCTCAAGTGGCACAAGAGAAAACTAATAACGGTATCAATGATACCTAAAATCGTACTTACAAGTTGTTAAAAAGTCTCTTCACTGCCACCTCAGACCCATTGATCAATTTTCCCTTGTAAACAACTCCGTATCCGCCCTCACCAATCACATTCTCTGCGGAAAAACGGTTAGTTGAAAGCTCAAGATCTCTTAGTGTGAACCAATGGCCCCACCCAAGATGAGAAACTTCAGGCAAGCCAGCCAGAGGAGACGCAGTTACTGTATACTGCTTCTTAACAGTTCCAAAGTTCCCATCTTCTATCGACATCAAACTTAACCCCCTATCATGATGATAAACCGAGCTACTCCGACTAATATTATCAGGTTCACTTGATTTGCTCAAATGAACAAACAACTTATCTGAATCTGAATTCTTATCATTTGCCGCATTATCATGTACATGAACAGACACACTCTCTAGTTCATCATGAGTCGGATTCACTCCAATCTTGTCAACTTTGATATCCTTTGAGTCGTGAGGTATTTGAGATAACGAGTACTTGTCTACGGATCTTGATCTCCTTGTTTTTCTCCGAAACAGTATCCATGTAGATAATATACAAAGAATTAAAACTATAAATGCACCAACACCTATTCCAATCAAAACCCATAGCCTTAAACCCCAAACTGAAGTTTTCTTCGACAACTCGACATTCAAAGAAAAGTTGGAAGACATAATTGGATACTACAAATCAATCTTTATCCTCCAAGCTCTTCTGCTAGTATAATCAACACATTCCAATCTAAATACAAGAAAACAAAAACCTATTTAAGTATTTATACACAAACCCAACTAAATCATCATGAACCAAAAAGTAATGTGATACTTCAAACATTCAACAAATCAAATCAAAACTCATTTGCATCTATATCACTCCAAACAGAAAAGTAAACTAGTATAACATCACTTATGCACCAAGCAAAACAAAATGTAATAAATAATCCAAAAAGTGATACACAAAGACAAAGCAATCACCTTTGTATTGATGTAAGTTACCCTCTTTGTTCTTCTTCCTTCATCACCTACAAAAAAACACACACACACACACAAACCCTATTAATCCAAAACTACAAAAATGCTTTTTTTTTTAGAGTTTCAAGTAGAAGGGGTTATGAGTGAAAATGGGTCAATGAGAAATATGGATAAGATGAAAAAGAAGTGATAAAAATGTGATTTTTAATGGGGAATGGAAAAGTACAGAGAGAGAAAATGGGTGGATTATGGAGAAGAAGAAAAAAGGAGAGAGAGGGGAAAGGGTTTGGTGGATAGTGGAAGTGTGGTTGAGGAAGATGATTGTGGGACCAAAAGCAAAGGTGGAAAGGAAGCTTGGTTTGTAATGGAGGAAACACAGAAAGAGAGAGAGAAACAGTAAAGATAAAGCAAAAATAGGTGTGTGCATTTATAGCTGTTAACAGAAAGTGTAATGAATAAGTTGAAACAAAATGTGTAATAAGGTGTAGAGAGAGAAAGAGAGATTGGAGAGAGAAAGAGAGATTGGAGAGTCAACCTTAGTCCAACAAGGATGATGAACTCCAAAGTCCAAACCAAATCTAGCTTGGCATGAGTCTTACAAGTTAGAACCATTCATGACTTCTTTTGATCTAATTGTACTAAGAATTAATTAAGTTATTTTATTTTTTCAATTTAACTCAAAAGTGATTCTAAATAAGTTTAATTGATTTTGAGATTTTATAAGTAATATCAATTTATTCAACTAGTAATTCTATATCAAGTTTTTTTTTTAATATTAAGTTTTGAAAAATTAGATTATATATATACTGAACCAACCGAATCAACTCAAACTGCATTAGCTTGGTTTAGTTTGGTTCGGATTTATTTTTAAAAGTTAATCGAATCACATGTTTTTTTCTCTTGCGGTTCAGGTGATTTTTTCATCAAAACCGCCCAAACCACACCGCAAACACCCCTGGCCTCAAGTGTAATGTTGATGCGTCTTTTACTCATAATAAAGTTGGTATGGGTGCTTGCATTAGAGATGATGCGGGTCAATTCGTTGCAGCCTAGACAAAATGGTTTTCACCATGTACTAATGTTGTTATTGGAGAAGCTCAATGACTCCTATCAACCTTAAAGTGAATTCATGAACAGGGGTACGATAATATAGATTTTGAGTTAGATGCAAAGCGAGTTGTGGACAGTGTGACCAATCCGAAATCCAATGACTCAAATTTCGGTGCTATTACTGGCGAGTGTAACCGGTTGATAGCGCTTTTCTTTAGAAACTCTCATGTTAAGTTCATTAGAAGATAAACTAATGAGATTGCTCTTGCTCTGTCACGGGTGACTCCATCTTTTACTAATTTTCATAATTTTATTAATATTTCAACATGTATCCAACATATTATTATTATTAATGAAATGAATTAATATGTTCCCGTAAAAAAAAAACTTAAACTCAAATTATATAACAAAAAAAAATATAATATATCAATTAAAATTTGAAAACTCTATATTGACATGAAGAAAAAAATGTATAAAGGTAAAATACTAATTTTTCTTTAATACATAAATGTGAAATCATACTAATTTAATCTAGAAGTCAAACAAATTTATTATCAAAATTAATGCAATAAATTTGTGAATTTTCTAGTGTATTAATTATATTTGATAATTGCCTTTATTTGACTAAACGATCAAAAAGACTTTAAATGACTAACAGACCAAAACAACTAAAAGATTTTCAGTTTTATTTCCATATATCATCATCATAAAATTTCAATAAATTTTGTTTAATGTGTATTATGAATGAAATATTTCATTGGATTCCTTCTACCTCTTTGTATTCATTTTTAATGGATGGATTGTTTGTTAGATTTTTAATCTATCAATGATGCTAACTTAATACTTATGCTCTAAGAATTTTATAAATAGGAAATATATGTTTAAAAAATATAATTCATTATTTCAATGAACTACTTCCCATTTCTTTTAAGTGATGTTTTAAAAGAATTTTTTATTTATTTAAGTGTTATTTTATAGTTTATTGTTATAATTTATTATTATATTATTAACTTTTTAATAACTCTATTTTATATTTTCTATAAAATTAATTATTTTTTCAATTAATTATTAAAAAAAAAGAGATGATATGAGTGAATTTATTTAAAAAGAAAAAATAAATAAAAGTATAATATAAAAAATAATTATAATATTCTATTTATCTTAATTGAAAAATTTTATGTTAAAATGATACTTAAAAAAAATAGATGAAATATCTAAAATAAATATATACATTTCCTTACGGGAAAATAAATGTACATTTAACAAAAACAATTATTATTAAAGAAAATGTTAACTAATACCTTAAAAACAATCATTAAATATTTAAAGTAGTAATATTTTTTAAGAATACATATAACAAATATATTGAAAATTGAAATAATTAATTTTTATAAAGAATATTTTCTTTATTTAAAATATTTAAAGAATATCCTCAAAACACTTATTAGCATCACCTTTGTTATGATAAATTATTAAACTGAGGGATCCATTATATAATTAATTATAATAAGTTGATATCGAATTGAATTTGTCTGGATTTTTTTTGGAGTGACATGATTATCAGTATTTAAGTCTAAACTTGTTTTAACATTGATATATTGTTCAATTATTTTAAATGAATATATTTTTGATATAATTATTTTAAGTAAAATGCTAATGAATGTTTTTGGAACACTCTGATTTAAGAGATTAAAAAAATATATATATATTTTTTAAATGTGTGTTTGACAATAAAGAGAAAATATGAAGAGAAAAAAAATATAAAAAAAGAGAAATAAATGAAAAATATAATAGATTTGAAGTATTGTTTGATATAAAAAAATTAATAAATAAAAAGAAGTATGTTTAATTTTTGAAAAGATAAAAATATCTTTAAGTTAAACACCAATAATTCATTATAAATATAATTTTCGTAAAATATTAATATTTCATCATAAATATATAATTAAATTACTTAAAATTATTTAAATCAAATTACTTTAGTAACAAAGTTATGTAAATTAAATTTTAAATAATTATATCAAATATGAATTAGATTGTATCAAAATTGAACACAATTCATTCATGTGCACTTATAACATTTTATACTCTCAAACTCATTCTAAATGCAGTGCTGAAACACTCAATAAGACCAAATAATTTACTGAGCAACAAGCAATTATTTTAGAGATTAATAGGAACAACGTTCTAGTAGAAGTAATGACTGGTGATTGTGAATTTTTAATCTCTAATTTGAAGTATGCAATTGATAAAGATGATTTGGACAAAATGTAAAATTGTAATGAAACCAACTTTCTCTACTCTTTCTTTTCACACTTGCAGAGAAATAGAAAACCGGTGGGTCCCACTATTTTAACTTCTCTCTTTCTTATCTCTCTTTAAACCAAATAAAATAATTTGATTTAATTGTAATTTTAGTTCTCTTATTTAATTTAATTTTTTTGATTTTGATTTCTCTATTTAAAAAATTATTATTTTAGTTTATTTTAAGTTTTTTTTTAAATTTTTTCCTTATTTTAAAAATTATGATTTTGATTCATTTTTTAAATTTTAAATTATAATTTTAGTCCCCCTTTTAATTCTAGTGATGATAAAAAAGAGATCAAAATCAAAATAAAACTTAAAAAGGGAGCTAAATTGTAACTTAAAATTTAAAAAATAGATCAAAATCATGATTTTTAAAATGAGGGGACAAAAATTCAAAAGAAAACTTAAAAATGAGACTAAAATGGTGGTTTTTAAAATGGAGGAATCAAAATCAAGAAAAAAATTAAATAAGAGGACCAAATTTGCAATTATACCAAAGAATTTTGTTCTTTCTTTTCAACCTCTCTCTTCAACTTCTCTCTTCCCTTTTTCATTCAAACCAAGCACGCCGTAAGAGATTGAAAAGATAGAGTTTTTTAAAAAATATGTATATTAATTGCATTGAAAATATAAATAATTTTTAAAAAAAAATATATTATATGTATTCAATGCATTAAATATATAATTTTTTTATTTAGAATTCTTAACTAGTGTCTCGAAGGCACTGGTTAGCATGATCATTGATCGTACCTGATCAGAAGAGATTGTCAAGATCCACGAGCTTTAAGTCTAGCAGTGGTTGAAGGTGAAATGGGGGATACATGTAAGATACTCTGATGCCAAAGTAAGGTTCAGAATAAGTGCAAATAGAATATGAGAGTATGGATGGATAAATCAATATCTGACCCTCTCAAGTGAGAGGGTATTTATAACCTCTAGCGCTGGGCCAAGATCCCTATATTGGACTGACAGAGCAGACCCAAGATGAAGACTGTCAGAATCTACATGAGTAGTGAAGACCAGCACGTGGTCTCCTTCCTGAGTGAATTGCTTTGAATTACTAGGAGGGCGTGGTTACGATATTTTTGGGGTCAAGTTGACTCTGGGATACTCGGAGATGTCGACATTTGCCCTACGAGGAGGGTGCCTGTCAAGGCCTCCTGGGAGCCGTTAACACTCTTCGACAACCCTATGGTGAGGAAGGCTCAGGGGGCTTGTCCTTAGCGCAAGGGTGCAGTCATTGTCCGACATAGTCAATGGCAGACTCATTCTTGTTGGCCTTCACCTTCAGCATGATTGGATTGAGTCTCATATATTGTTTGGGCCAAGCGCAGGCCCAACCAGAACCATCCTTATTTTAATACCCAATTTATACTAAAAAAAATCTATAAATCAAATAAATTTATCAATCAAAATTAATGCAATTTAAAAAAAATTATTGATTTATAACTATTAATAATTTGTTTAATTTAATATATTATAAAATATAAAGAAATATTGGACCAACAATTTATGGTCATCTAGTTCAATTATCAACAATTTAGTGTTATATAGCTCAATTTTCATAGATTACTTAAACTATCTCACTCACTCACAATTGTCAGTGTGTGAGACACTTTTAGTGAGGAGAAAAAGAGGGAATAATAAAAGAAATAAAGATTTATATTATTAAATTATACAAATAATAATATAGACTAGAACTATTTATATACAATCCTAATTGGACTCGGGCCTACACAACTTGAATTATATTTAAATATTAAATCAAATCAAATCTAATCTAATCTAATATTTTAACAAATCTAATTTAATATTTCAACACACCCCCATAATCCAAGTTGTCGAACATCCTCAAAAATAGTCAATCTGAACTATTCCTAATTTCTTTCTCAAATTCAGAAATTTGTCAATCTTTAATCCTTTGGTGAAAATATCAGTCAACTGTGTTTCACTCGAGCAATGTCTTACTTCAAGTTCACCTTGATTTATCTTTTCCCTCAAGAAGTGAAATCTTGCTTCAATATGCTTACTTCTTCCATGCAGAACTGGATTCTTCGCCAGATTTATGGCTGACTTGTTGTCGATTTGCAATACAAGAGATTTCTTCACTCCGACCTTCATTTCTTCAAGTACAGATCTGATCCAAATTACTGACATGCAACATAGGATCCT